AATGCAACACCATTCCTCTTCAATTTGTCATTCCCGGCATAATAAACCATGTGGTTGTCAGATTCAAAATGGCCAATACCAGTCCATTTCAGCTCACTAATGCCTAAGGTACCAATGTTTATGCGTTCCATTTCGTTTTTGACAACTTCCACTTACCCCAGATTCATGGTTCGTACATTCCATGTTCTGACTTTCAGTGGATGTTTACAGCTGTTTCTCTTCATTTTGTCTTGTGCCCCATCAGCAAATAAAAGTCCTGTGATCTTTTCTCCCATGAGCTTTACTCCATTCCCATCATCACGGTCAACTCTACTTTGAGGAGGCAGCTCTTCCCCAGCCACATTTAGAGTGCCTTCCAGCTTGATGGGCTCATTTTCCGGTACTATATCTGACAGTGTTTCTCTGCTATTCATAAGGTTTTCATTGACTAAATATTCAGAAGTAGTTCCTCATTCTTTCTTCTTAGTCTGTCTTTGTTTGGAAGCTCATCTGAAACCTGTCCACTGTTGGTGACCCTGCTGGTATTTAAAATAGCAGTGGCATAGCTTTCAGAATCACAGCAACTCACAAGCCACCACAGTACAACAAACTGACAGACAAGTGGTGGCTGTTTGGTTTTAAGTGGAAACTGTCACTTTAAATGTCGAGGAGATCTGTGCGCATGCATAGTAGAACTCTCCAGGAGTGGGAGTGAGGTGTCCATTTACTCAGGCATCCCCTTTAGTCACCAGAATGGAGGTGCTTATCCTATAGCACTGTATATATATGCATATGTCATAGAATTTTAAAAGGTAATGGAGATTTTCACAAACTTTGTCGAGACCCCTCATATATGGATCTCTGAGCCATTGCCATTGACCCTATAGAACAATAAGGAATGTAGGACTACCCTGTACGGTTTCCAGTCTTTAACCTTTATGAGAGCAGACTGTCACATCCTTCTCCCTGAAAGTAGTTGATAAGTTCCAATCTCCAGTCTTATGATTAGCAGCAAAATGTTTTAACCCTTACCCTACCAGAACCCCTTATGTAGTCATTTAAAATCATTCAATCTAAGAACAAAGATTTTTGCTCTCTTTACTATTGAATAACCACTTAACTGAGCACAAAGGTCTTGGGTCTCAAACTTCTGAGTGTTGCTTAGTTATTGTTTATCGTTTTTGCGTGCCCTTGCGTCAGTTCTGACTCCTAGAGACCCTGTTTAGAGTTTCCAAGAGTGGCTGGTGGGTTTGAACTGCTGACCTTGTGGTTAGCAGTGCTTATCCTGCAGTGCCACACCAGGGATGAATTCTTGTTTAGCACATTGTTATAGAGTGCAAGAGGGTGTTAGTTTCATTAATGGCGACAACCCTTTCCGAGCCACACCACCACTGCTGATGATATATATTTATTTTAATATGATGGTGATATATTTATTTTAATAACTAAACTTTGAAAAGACAAAAAAGCTGATATTTCTAGTTACTGATCTCTAAAAGTTGGTCATGACTTTTACCTTTTAATCTCAAGTCATTTTCCTATGTCTAGAAAGTAATTTTCTTTACTACTTTGCTCACTGTCTACTCTGTTCATAGTCAACATGTTGTTTGTACTGCTCTTTGGAACACATTCTGTTCACCAGTTGGATCTTTGCAATCTTTCATTCCATTTCTAGATTCTTAAGTGCCATCTTTTCCCTTCCTTTTCCTTTATCTTTTCTGCTGTATGAGATTACTTCTCAGTTTTGGGTTCTGCTTCAAGTTCAGTGTTTGGTAATGTTAAGCCATCTTTCTGTGGTCAACATTCCATCTCATCTCTGCATTTTCTTATGCTTACTCTGCTCTTCACACAAGGGTTACTCTGAGCCTTCACAGCTCTTACTAATTTTCAGAGACGAAATCCACTCAGACAATGAGGCAACAATTCTTGAAATTAGAGACCAACAATTGAAATTTATCAATAAACGGGGCTCTCCTCACCAGATCTGCCCCTCAAGTGTCCCCTAATCAGGCATCTTTAATGAGAGTCAGTTCACCAACCTGAATTTAAACTAACCAAGAATCCAAATGCAAGAACACATCCAAATGACTGGATAGTGTATCGTCTGGAAGAACTTCATTTCCTTTCAGGCAGTTTGCAAACATTGACAATAATGCATCTCTGTGTTGTTTTGTTTACTTACCAGGTTTGAGATTTTTGAGAGCTCTCAGACTGATACAGTTTTCAGAAATTTTGCAGTTTCTGAATATCCTGAAAACAAGGTAAGATTATTCTTTCTTGTCATTTTTGCTCCTTCAGGTCCCCAGTGCCAGGTTTTAAATATCAGATGTGTTTACTTTCATCCCAATGTAATTCAAGTTCTGCCATCCACCGCAGTAGGAACCTGAGGAACCTGAGACTTGGAATCAGGGGGTGGCAGATGTGGGCATCTATGGGAGCTGTGGGGCAAAGAGGGAAAGCCAACTGTACTTATGGGAGGTAGGAGCAGTTTAGGAGGGAATCATGGCAGGCAGCGGGTACAGTGCAGCTTGCTGGGAGTTCAGCCACCGTGTGCCCATGGCTGGGTACACAGCCGATGAGGGATAGACTTTCTCATTGACTGGGCAGTCCTTGCTGTCCGGTTCTAAATCGTGCCTTTATGACATCACTAAATAAGAAATTGAACCTGGCCATAAAAGCAATAGAAGCAATGCTCTTTGCCAGGCAATCACAAACCTCATACGGCAAACAGAAAATCAGTTCATTTTAAAGTACATTTTAGATGTTCATTGGGTATCCAATGGAGCCCCTGGGACTTGCTGTGTGAATTGCCTTGGGGGAAAACCTAACAACCTAACCCTGCAGACATCATGGTGGTGGCTTTTAACTCTGCTGAGATCTGGGAGACACAACTGGATCAGGAAGAAAGTCCCCCAGAGGGGTCCCTTTTCTGATCGCCTCTGGCTTCCAGGGCCTTCATGAGGAAGAAACTCACAAAAGAGCTTAGACATCCTCTAATGGAGACTAGGTACCGGCTATACATTTCTCTTACAGGAAATTACACGTTAGAAGCTCACTTCTAATGTTGTTTCCTTTCTTGTTGGCCTTCATGTGGTTGATGAATGCTTAAACATAGGGACAGCGCTGTATTTTGTTATTAATAATTAAGAGAACTTCGGTTTTGAGCACTTGGATTCAACATTGTTTTTTACTAGTCATGGAGGCTTTCACAATCTGACACATCCAACAAGTGCAGCCAACTATTGGCTTTCCTCTTTGGGTGTTACCTGTGGGCGTTTATTTATTTACTTTCATTCCAAATTGGTTTCCCCTCCCCAGTTGTGCATCTCTGTGAGCAAGACGTGAATATACTTTCTATTAGTCAATTTATAAAAAGCACCTAATGCCACCCAAATCTTGTATAGTGTGGCCAACCACCCGTCACCCTTCACACGTGAGGTCAAAACAGTGGATCTTTTTAATAGTACATAATGGTGTGGCACTTTGGGTTAATGTGCTAGGCTGCAAGATCGGTTTAAATCACAAGATCATCGGTTCAAGCTCACCAGCCATTCCTCGGAAACCCTATGCAGGTTCGCTATGGGTCAGAACCGACATGATGCCACTCAACAACCACCTCACCATGTATCCTTAGTAAATATTATACTCTATGCAATAGACTCATCTTACTTGAAATGTAAAATATCAACAAAGCTAACAATTACCAAATTTGCCTTATAAATGCTCATTAGGCTGTATTTTCAAACGGAGAGTTATTCAGTACATGGTGCTAAATCCAGAGGCTTGTCTTGATGAGATACTTATTTGTTAATTTCTGTTGAGGTTGGTGTTGTGTAAAGTCACCCACACTCTCTCCGGTATGTCTTTACCTCATAAATTAGGAAGGGGGAAGTTATTCTCTGACATGAGCATTTTAAGAAGGGTCCATTACTCTGAGGAATAGTGTGGAGTTGCATTCCTCTTATACCTGAGGTTCCTTTTTTAGATTTTGAAGAATGACAGGCTGTCTGAAGACAACATCCTTTTTGACTTTTGGCTAGAAATCCTGCTGTCTCTGTTATCTAGTGCTTCGACATCAGAGTTACCACAAGTGGATGGCTTCAACAACAGAACTTCACTGTCTCTCAGTTTCGTGGGTTAGGAATCCAAATCTAGGGCACCAGCTCTAGGGAAGGTTGGCACCAGCTCTGTGTTGGCTCTGGGGCAAGGTTATTGTCTCTTTCAACATCTGTGGGCCCATTGTTCCCTTCGAGATCATCATGTTTCTTACCATCAGTCTTCTCATGGGTCTAGGAGGTTCTAAGCATAGGGACCCCAGGTTGGTAGACAGGCTTCCCTCCTCTTAATTCTTGACAGATAAAAAAGGTGGTGATGGTCATACTCTAGGGAAGCTCTCCTAATAGCCAATCAGGGCTGTGACCCAAGTAAGGGTGTTACAGCCCAGCCTAACCCCCTCACAACATCACATGACATCATGGGAATGATTGCATCATTGTACCACTGTCAAATGACATCATCACTTAACTGTCAGGCTGCTGAAAGTCATGACCCAGCCAAGTTGATACATATTTGCAGGTTGTTGTTAAGTACTGTGGAGTCAGTTCCGACTCATAGTGACCCCGCACAGGGTTTCCAAGGCTACAGATCTTTACTGGGGAGAAAGCCTCATCTTTCTCCCTTGTAACAGCTGGTAGTTTCAAACTGCCGACCTTGAGGTTCGCAGACCAATTCGTAACCACTAGTAGGGGTTGGCAAACCTCAATCTATACCGTTCAACACGCTCCCGTTCTTTGAAAAGGATTCCTTTCCTTTGAAAAGGATTCCAATGCTGCAGGCAACATTGCTGGTACCCCTGGTTAACAGATCACCCGGGAACTCCATGGGTGGTTTATTCCCCCAGCACAAAGAGGAGAAAGGTAAAGGGGCCCACTAAGGGAGGAAGGAAGTATAAGTCCTGGGGAGAGTAACCCCCAGAAAGCATCACAGCATTGCAGCCTGATTAGGAGTCTGCCATCCTAACCCTAAGCAGCATTTTCCCGGCATTCATTTGTGATTCTTCTGTGCTTAGAGGGGGCTTCACTTCATAACCCTCTACCGTGAACTTCGCAAGTTCCTGCTAATGCTCACCACCATGTGATTGTGCTAATTCAGCAAAGCTGAGGTGACCACCTAGTAGGGAAGACACTCAGGCAGATGCTGACAAAGGTAACTGTTCGGAGAGCTCAGACTGGCCCATAGGCAGTGTGAGTGATGCTGACCAGCCAAATCCAGAGCTTGCCTGGCATGAAGAAGAGTAACTAAGCCAGGCTTGCTGTGAGTTGCAGGACAGTTAAGGATCGTCTCAGGGAAAAGGGGAAGTTCTAAGTCAGGCTACCATGCGTCTGTTAGTTTGTCATACTGTGGTGGCTTGTGAGTTGCTGTGATCCTGAAATTTAAAATTTTAAATAACACTGGTATTTTAAATAACAGCAGGTTCACCCATGGTGGACAGGTTTCAGATGAGCTTTCAGAAAAAGACAGACTAGGAAGAAAGAGTGACGAACTACTTCCAAATATTTAGTCATGGAAAACCTTATGAATAGCAGAGAAACAATGTCAGATATAGGCCGGAAAATGAGCCCCTCAAGTAGGAAGGCACTCAAAATGTGACTGGGGAAGAGCTGCCTCCTCAATGTAGAGTTGACAGTGATTGATAACACGAATGGAGTAAAGCCTATTGAATGAAGTAAATCACTGTCATTTGCTGATGGGGCACAACTCAAAATGAAGAGAAACAGCTCTAAACATCCATTGAAAATCGGAACATGGAATGTACAAAGTATGAATCTTGGAAA